CAGCAAGCGAGACGAGGCGTGGCGGCGGCGAGAGCTCGCCTCGCTCTCCGCCCTCGTCCAGGCGAAGATCGCCGAGCTGCAGAACCCACCTGACTGCCGGTCGGCGCGGAAGCTAGTGTGCAACCTGAACAAGGGCTGCGGCTTTGGCTGTCAGATCCACCACCTGACCTACTGCATGATCGTGGCGATGGCCACCCGGCGGACGCTGGTGCTCAACTCGAAGAACTGGCGCTACGTCAACAGCGCCAACCGGCGGACGATGGCCGGTGGCAATGGCAGCGGCGGTGGCGGTGGCAATGGCGGTGGCGGTGGCGGTCGCTCCCTCTGGGACACCGCCTTCCGCCCGCTGAGCAACTCCTGCCTGGAGGACTCGGGCAGTCCGCGGGGCAACTGGGCGCACGCCAGCGACGAGGGCGAGCGCGAGGAGATGCAGGTGCTCGACCTGCCCATCATCGACTCGCTCCGCCGCCGCCCCCCGTACCTGCCGCTGGCGGTGCCCGCGGAGCTGGCCGACCGCGGCCTCACCTCGGCCGCCCTCCACGGGGCGCCCTTCGTCTGGTTCATCGGCCAGCTGCTGCGCTTTCTCATGCGCCCGTCGGCGGAGATTGGCCAGTACCTCGAGCAGCGGCGGCGGCAGCTGTTTGCCGGCGTTGGGGGCGGTCCGTCGTCGTCGTCGACGCCCATCGTCGGCGTGCACGTCCGCCGCACCGACAAGATCAACACCGAGGCGGCCTTTCACCCCCTTTCGGAGTACATGGCCCAGGTGGAGGAGTACTACGACCGGTTGGATCTGTTCAATCAGCGCCGGCAGCAGGGTGGGGGGGTGAGTGCTGTTTTCTATTTTGTTGTTGTTGATGTTTTTGTTGTCATGCTAACACGTGTTCTATTTTGCAGAAGGTGGCCCCCGTGAAGCGGCTCGTCTATCTGGCGACGGACGACGCCTCCGTCTGGAAGAAGGAGATTGAGAGCTACGAGCAGCGGGGCTACAAGTTTATTGGCGACTATGAGATATGTAAGCGGAGGGAGACTGGAATTTAATCTTTGTCAGTCTCATTTACACATTCCCTTTTCCCTTACCACAGCGAACACCGCCAGCATCGGCCGGCGGTACTCCTTCGACTCGCTGAAGAACATCATCCTCGACGTCTGGCTGCTAAGTGAGACCGACTACCTGGTGTGCACCTTCAGCTCGCAGGTTTGTCGCCTCGCCTACGAGTTGATGCAGTCGAGGAGTGTAAGTTTGTTTGTTTGTTTCTTTTTCTTTTTCTTTCTTTTCTCCCTTGCCTAATTTCCTAATTTTCTCCACTACAACAGCCTCCAGTCGACCGCTCCCTCGACTACTACTCCCTCGATGACATCTACTACTTTGGCGGGCAGAGCGGCCACAACCAGGTGGCCGTCCTCGCTCACAATCCCAAGATGACCAATGAGATTACGCTGAAAGTGGGCGATGTCTTAGGTTTGTAGAACAGATTTTGGGGAGTACCATTGTACCAATTTTTTGTCTTACACATTGTTCCTACAGGAATCGCCGGCAACCACTGGAACGGCATGTCCAAGGGCGTGAACAAGGAGACGAAGGAGGACGGCCTCTACCCGGGCTTCAAGACTGTGGAGAAGGTGGAGACGGCGCCGTTTGAGCTCTTTCAGGAGGAGCACTGATCTTCTTTCTAATCTCTGTTCACCGTTCCGCCCAGCCCTTTCCCCTTTCTACCCGCGTGCAATACCACACAATCCCCAAACCTTTTTCTCTTCAGTTCGCATAATACACTCAAACATGTTCATCCTTTTTTGTGATAAGCNCACTGATCTTCTTCTTTCTAATCTCTGTTCACCGTTCCGCCCAGCCCTTTCCCCTTTCTACCCGCGTGCAATACCACACAATCCCCAATCTTTTTCTCTTCAGTTCGCATAATACACTCAAACATGTTCATCCTTTTTTGTGATAAGCACACCCCATATTTATTTCGATTGTAAACCCCCTTCACATTCTCAACTATTAAAGTCAACAATTTCTTTTCCCGGTTCACGACAGCAGACGAAGAATGGGAACCGGCTGGGAATCCGGAAAAAAATCCAAACTAAAAAAAATAGTATGGTGGCGCACTCTGTCGGCGACCAGGTGAACACAGCTTGCGAGGAAGGCGCGAGCGAGCGATGCGATCGGATCGACGACGCCAACAGCAGCAGCAGCAGTGTGTTGTTGTGTGCCACTCTCTCTCAGTCAGTGAGTATCACTCTTTGAGAGTTGGTTGGATTCGTTCCGTGAGTTGGACGCATTACCATCACCACCATCACCACCACCACCACCATCGCCGCAGAGTGTGATGATCAGTGATCAGGAAAGGCAGCACGCGATTGACGCATCTCACCATTGTGTTGTGTTGTGTGCTGAGAGCTGATCTCCTTTGCTTCCTCACCTCAGCGGATCAGCTGCTACACCGTCTCGACACGAAAAGATTTGCAAACACGACCACCATCACCGCCGNAAGGCAGCACGCGATTGACGCATCTCACCATTGTGTTGTGTTGTGTGCTGAGAGCTGATCTCCTTTGCTTCCTCACCTCAGCGGATCAGCTGCTACACCGTCTCGACACGAAAAGATTTGCAAACACGACCACCATCACCGCCGCCATCGACACGGAAGACCACTCTGCTGAAGATAATCTCTGCTTCTGATCCCCTTCTACTTCTGCCCTTCTTCTTCTTCTTTTGTACTATAAGGAAGTGACGAAGAAGTGACAGAGATCAGTTGAATCTGCTGTTGTCGCCGTTGCTGCCGTCCAAGTCTCCTTCCCCTACCACCAAACTGTCTCTCCCACTTGGCGAAGATAGGTATTCATGGTAGGTGCACATCTCCCCTTGTTTGCAATTATCATCCTTTTGTATTATTTCACCATTTCTCTCGCTATCTCTATCATCAATTTATCTATTACACATCGTACGGGCATGTGCGAAGGTGCAAAAGACGTACACCTAACGGTCGACTGTAGTGCAAACATCACCGGCAAAGATATCTCTGTTTCTTTGGTGATAGCATCTCTGATGATATCCTCGTCATCACTTCTCTATAATGTTCTATTTGCCGCGTTTGCAAAAATATGAACGCTAGTTAGGCGTTCCTTAGCACATTAGCTTCCTGCATCGATTCACTGCGCCCAAGATTACCACCAATACCCCTCCCCACAGTTTCCCGAACCGGCGGACGTCCTAGTGTTTGTGATGCGGACGTCCACTGCTGGCGCCCAAAATCTGCTTGCTGGTCGAACTGAATCATGGCAAAAAAAAATTGGCCACGATATAAGCTGTAGTAGTAGCAGTAATGACTGCTGCTGCTGCTGTCCATCGCTGCCGCCAACTAGTCGACCGGTCTAGTGGTGGTNCGTCCACTGCTGGCGCCCAAAATCTGCTTGCTGGTCGAACTGAATCATGGCAAAAAAAAATTGGCCACGATATAAGCTGTAGTAGTAGCAGTAATGACTGCTGCTGCTGCTGTCCATCGCTGCCGCCAACTAGTCGACCGGTCTAGTGGTGGTGGTGGTGGTCAGCGGCAAGTGGACTACTTTGCAGCAGCAGCAGCAGTGGCAGCTACTGCTTAGTAGCAGCTGCAAAGGCACGCACAGGCAACAGCAGCAGCAGCAGCCTCGATCCAGTCGCTCAGTGTTCTCGTTATTAGACAGCTCCCCTCTTCTTCCTTCAACATTACCATTACCACCATCATCATCCCTATCCCTATCCCTATCCCTGAGTGTCTCTCGCACATAAGCCACTCCACCAGAGGGAAGGGAAGCACTGGCAGTGGTGGTGCTCACCGAAAGAGAAGACCTTTCGGTGTTCATTCAGCAGCTTCGGCTTCTGCTTCGATTCCATTGCTCTCTTGGCCGCTCTTTCTCTCTCTCTCTCTCTCTCTCTCTCTCTCTCTCTCTCTCTC